AAATATGGATATTAAAGGTGGTTCTGGTGAGATCTCAGCTGGAAATGAGAGCTAGAAAGAAAGTTTTGATCTTATGGATGGAAACATAAATAATTATTATGAGAACGTTGGTAGAAATATGAATGTCTGACAAAAATCTCATCTGTTTGGAAGGTGATTGAATTGTAGTTTACTATACTTATTAGTGGATTTATTCTGTAGCTAAATGTGGTGTTAGGAGGAGGGGCCTAGATGGAGGTGGGTCACTGGGGGCTAACCTGGAAGGGAGTGTTCTTGTCCCCAGATCCTTCTCTCCCTCTCTGTTTACTGGCTGCCATAAGTTGAGTCTCTTTTCCTCCACCATGCCCCTCTCCCATTCTGTATTTTGCCTTGAAGTGAGCCAATGATGGACTGAAACTGTGAGTCCAATAAACCTTTCCTCATTTAAGTTGTGAGTATCAGGTATTTTCTCTCAATTATGGGAAAGTGGCTAAAACAGATTTTGGTACCAGCAAAGTGACTGTGACTATACCTGACCATGTGATTCACAATCCTTTGGAACTGGCTTGTAGGAGGAATTTGGAAAGGTTTGGAGATGCAAGCTAGAAGCCTTAGAATGCTGTATGAAGAGCTTGATGACTAATTCTGGTCAGGTCTCAGAAGATCAGAATGCTGATAAGAATGTGGATAGTTAAGGCCAGGATAAGGAAGTTTCAGTTGGGAACAAGGACTCCATTGGCAATTGGACTAGAGGCCACATGTGTTACACTCTGGAAGAAAATTTGTCTTTGTTTTGGCAATATCCTAAGACTTTGTGAAAGTCTGAGATGAAGGGTGGTGGACTTACTCAAAGCTACAGGTGGTGAATTTTAATCTGGCAAAGGAATTTTCAAAATAGCCCAGTGTTCAGGATGTGGCATAGGTATTGTTGGCTATTTTATTTTCTACAGTGAAAATCAGAAGCAAAAAGCAGACATGAAAAGTGTGCAGTTTCATCAGAAAGGAAACACCTGAAAAGTTATAACTGAGAGATTGATTGCTAAAAAACAAAATGACATTAAAAAGAAGCCAAGTACTTTGCGTTAGGACATTAGGAAAGATGACTTCAAGGCATCTGAGGAATTAGCAAGACCTCACCCCTTGCAGGCTCGATGGTTCAAAACTATAAAGCTTTCACTTGAGAAGAGAACCCTTGGATCTCATGCTCAAAAATAGCCACTTAGGGAATGGCATTCCAGGATTTGTTTCACAGTGTTCATGCACCCAGGTACTCAGAGGCCTCTGGAGTCATGAAACAAGAAAGCCTCACTACTGCTTAAACTGATGGCAGACCCTGGCATCATCTGTGTGTGCTGGCTTTACAGGTATACAGAATGAAAGAATTCTGAATTTGAGGAGGCTTACATCAGATTTCACACAAAGACCTATGAAGCCAGACAGTGTGCCCCACAGAGGGCAATGTATAAAGCTGTGAGAGTAAAGTCAAAAGTGCAGTAGAGACTCCAGGAAGTTGAACATGGTAGGAACATGGATCATCTACTGAGAAAATCCACAGACAGTGAGCAGAGCTACCCCACAAGAGAGGTCATGCAACTGGCAATGCTATATGGCTCAACTGGCAATGATATAGGGGCAGAGCTGCCAAAGCCCTTTGGAATTCATGTCTCACCACAACTTCCCTACAAGTGCTGGACACACAGCTACAGGATTCAATGTTTATCTTGTGCTGGTACACATTGGACGTATTTAACTTTCTCTTTTATTTTTACAGGGACCCAGAGCTAAGAGTTTGCCTTGAGTCTCAGAAGAGACTTTGGACTTCAATTTTTCAACAATGCTATAACTGTTAAAACTTTGGCAACTCTTAGAGATATACTAAAGCATGTAGCATAATGAGATAGATTTGAGTCTTTTGAGATCTGGGGACAGAATGTTATGGTTTAGATCTAAAATGTCCCCCAAAGTTTCACATATTTGCAACATGATTGTACTGTGGCAGTTCTACACTCATTAGTGGATTCATCCATTCATGAGCTCAGTAGTTAAATGTGTTATTAGGAGGTGAAGTCTGGTTGAGGGTGAGTCACTGGGGACATAACCTAGAAAGGGGTATTCTTGTCCCTGGCTGATTCTTTAGCTCTCTGCTTCCTGGCTGCCATGGATTGAGTCCTTTTCCTCTGCCATGTTCCTCTGTCATACCATTCCTGCCTTGGAGTCAGCCAACTATGAACTGAGACAATGAACCAAAATAAATCTGTCCATCTTTAAATTTCAGGTTGGGTATTTTTGTCCAATAAAGAGAAAGTGATTAATACAATGAATATTAAAGGCTATTCTGGTGAGATCTCAGACAGAAATAAGAAAAATGTTATTGGAACTGGAGAAACAGCTGTCCTTTTTATAAAGTGACAAAGAAGTTGGCTAAATTATACTTGCATTCTACTATATTGTAAAAACTAGAACTTGATAGTGATGAGATTGAATATTTAGCTGAAGATTTATCTCAGAAAAGTTTTGAAGGAGTGGCTTGGTAATAGTAAAATGTGAAAGAAGAGAGGTGAAGTGAAGCAGAAATTGCTAAGCGAAAAAGAACCAGAAAATTTTTTCAACCTGGAAAATTTTTCATCATTGCAAAATGATGAGAAGGCATGTTCTGGGAAACACTGTATTAGTCTGTTTTCCCATTGCTGGAAAAAATACCTGACATACACATGTTAAAGGAGGAAGGATTTTAGTACACAGTTTCAGAGAGGTTCAGTCTATGGTTGGCTGGCTCCAAGATAGGAACATCATGGCAGAAGAGCATGGTGGAGCAAAGTTGCTTATTTCACAGTGGCCAGGAAGCAAAACCACAGAGAAACAGCACCAGCAGGACATATTTCTTGCAAAGGCATCCTTTGAGTTCCCCACTCCTAAAACACATTCAGCTCCAAACATTAGTGGATTAATCCTCTGATAATATTTACACACCCATGATCCACTCATCTCTCCAGTAGTCTCTTAATCCAGTCAACTTGGCAATTAAGATTAACTGGCAGGAACACCAAGGGTGTAGGTGGACTATCAATCAACAAAGAGCTTATGATATAATATTAGCAGAAACACTTTGTTTCAAATGGAGTGAACAATAAAAAGGACAAAATAAAGAAAGGCTATCATAATCCTTAGATTTGCAGGACAACAGAGCTATTTGGGTGAAAACAGACAGTATTCTTCCAAGTAGAAGAAAAAACTTCAAAAGTGATTCAAAGATTATCAAGCCTACTTCTTTGGTTTCAAAAGGTTAGATGGCCCCCAACCAAAGCACTGGGAGGATACAGCTATAGGATAACACTGCCACCTCAGTAGATCTTGAAAGCAACCTATTAAAGCAAAGAGGATTGATTGTTCTGGGGCTTCACAACCTAAAGGAATGTACCTTGCTAGGTACAAGTTTTGGACTTGTTTGGGACCTGGTACTTCTTCCCTCTTTCCTATTTTTCCCTTTTCGAATAGGAATGTTTATCCTATGTCTGTCCCAGCATTATATTTTAGAAGCACAAAACAGCTGTAGAGAACTTTTGCCTGGAGCTTCACACATATTTGATTTAAATGATATTTAGATGAGACTTCACACTTTAAAGTTGATGTTGGAATGAGTTAGGACTGTTGAAAGATGGTATGTATTTTGTGTGGGAAAAGACATGAATTGGAGGAGACAGAATTCTATGGACTGAACTGTGTTCTCAAAAAATTCCTATGCTGAAACTCTAACCCCAATAATTATACTTAGAGATAAAACATTTAGAAGGTAATTAGTGAGGTCATAATCCATACTGTGGATGACATCATAAGAATAGGAAGAGAGAGAAACCTTTCCGCATGTATACACAAAGGAAAGGCCATCTGAAGACGTACATAGCAACAAGTGGTGGTCTGTAGCCCAGGAGATGGCCCGCATCAGAACCAAATCAGCTAGCACCTTGATCTTGGATTTTCAGGGTCCAGACTGTGAGAAATAAATTTCTGTTGTTTAAGCCATACTGGCTATCATATTTTGTTATGCAGTTCTAGAAGGCTAATAAAATGAGCAACATCAAAGTAGCATTGATTTCTCGTGAGGACCTCCGTGCCTGGGTTATAGGATACTGGTTTTTAGGCAGAAATAAAACACAAGGATAGTACTGGTGCTCACAGAAGTATCCCATCATTTCAGGGAGGAAGGGGTGGGGGAGACAGTGTAGAGTGATATACCACAAGGGACTCATCAATTCACCAACTGAAGCTAAGAACTCTGGGCCAGGCCAGTGGAGATAAGAGCAGGCTGTGTCAGATACTGAGCAAAATGAGTGCTGAGGGAGAGGGGAAGGAATTTTTCTCTGTGTTGGTAATGACAGATCTTGAACCAGCGTGGTTCTCTTCCAATGTTGTTTATGAACCAAAATGTTCTGAAAATCTCAGTCCAGTCCCAGGAGTCTACCTTCTCCTCCACTAAAGGAAAATTTCCAACAGACTCTGACAACTTGTCTTCCCAAAACATTAGAAAGAAGAAATGGGCCAACAAAAATGGCATTAGCAAAAAGTTTAAACATTGGTTATTTTTAAAAGTTATCTACAGAAGACGGTGCATATATAAACAAAAAGATTCTTAGGAGACATGTGATGCATTAATTAGGTCACAGCTGATCAGAGCCTGTCACTCACTGCACTAAATACGAACCTTCTATGCAGAGATTTGAATGCATTCCATTCATCACTGCAAAGGGGTGAATGGGAAAGGAAAAACTGAAAGGTTAATTTTCCCTAATTTGTAGATTTCATCTATTTGATGGAGAGAGCAGAAAAAAATACACCACTCTTTTATCCTCTGAAGGCATCCCAGCATTTAAGAGTGTCACATAACACTATAAGCCAGTAACTCATTTAACAAAGGAATTGTGGGTGAAAAAAAAAACAAACTTCAGACTTGGGCTTCCAAAACGTTATGAACAGTGAAAGGAATAAAAATTAAATTATGATAGGAAAAATACTCTGATCCTTTGTGAAAAATAAAACATTTTATTAAGTCTGAACATCTTATGAAGGCCACATTTTTAGCCTCAGGCACCAATTATGGTTGCACCACTGTTGGGATCCAGAAGAAGCCTTCATAATCCTTCAACCTTCATAATCCTAAGGGACAGAGGGCATCTGCAAGTTCAGAGAATAATTAACGATTTCCATTTTACTATCCAACAGAGTAAACAGTGAACTGAAAGCTTGTGCTTCATCATATAAGCTGGTCAAGCCTGAAATGTGGGTCTATTTCTTCACCCACCATCTAAAATGTATTATCCATTCTGAGAAATGTTTCCTCTCATATTCTTCCAATAGGCTGAGCTGAAAAATGAGTTTAGTAACCATCAAACTTGAATTTTAGTAGTCAATGAACCTAAAGGAATTACTGTTATTTTTTTCACCATTTATTTCTTTAAGGACCAGAGTTTAGGTGGTTGGTTCCTAATCATTCCCTGTGATTGTAGTGGTTTCTACACAATTGCATGTATGTACAGTGTGTTCATAAGATTTCTTCATCGGTATGTAGATGTGCAGCTGCCACAATCGATTCAGCATTATTGATAATAATATCAATAATTGCCACTTTTATCTGGGAGATTATTGGTGTTAACTGCTCAGACTCTGATGGGTCTGAGAAGGGATAAGAACCTGAGCCAAATCAGTCCTGGAGATGCATTTGTTTTCCTTTGCTAGAGCTACCATAATAGAGTACCACATACTGGATGGCTTAAGCAACAAAGATGTATCATCTTACAGTCTGAAAGCTGGAAGTCCAAGATCAATGGGTTGACAGCATTGGTTTCCTCCGAAGGATATAAGGGAAGGATCAGTTTCAGGCCTGTCTCCCTGGCTGGTAGATAGCCAACTTCCCCATGTCTCTCCACATCAACTTCCCTCTGCATGTGCCTCTTTCTCTACACATCATGTGTGTTTTTGTAATAAGTACACCAGTTATTTTGGCCTAAGAGCCCATCCTATTGCAATATGATCTTATTTTAACTAATTGTATTCACAAGACCTTATTTCCAAATAAGGGCACATTCAGAAATACTGGTGTTATGACCAGCATATGAATGGGAATGTAGGTACAGTTAAGTTCAGGACACCCATGGGATAACATTTATCTTGACAGGGACCCTTACTTTCTCAAGCTTTCATGAAGCAGGCACTTTGCATTCATCGCCTTAATTAATCAACGTATCCCTACCTTAGTCTGCTAAGGCTACCATAACAAAACACCATGAACTGGGTGGCTGAAACAACACATTTATTTCTTCATAGTTTTGGATGGCAGAATCCAATGTCAAGACCCAGTAGAATTTAGTTTCTGGGGAGGATTATCTTTGTGACATAGAGGAAACCATCATGTCATTATATTCTCAGATGACCTCTTCATTGTAGAGGAAAAGAGGGAGAGAAAGAGAGAAGTCTGATGTCTCTTCCTCTTCTAATAAGAGCATTAGCCCTACCAGTTTAGATACCCACCCTTGATCTAATTTAATCTTTATTACATCCTCACAGGCACTATCTCCATATACAGTCACTTTGGAGGTTAGAGTTTCAACAGTTGAATTTCAGGATAACAAAATTCAGTCCATAACAATCCCATTATTAGCTTTTTTTTACAGATAAAGTGAGGCACCGAGGTTAACCATCAGGTTCCACAGCTAGATCTAGTGTGAAACACAGGCGAATTTGATTCCAAAAACCCATTTCTCTGTCCACTCTGCTTTGTGTCCCAAACTAGGACCTAAAATGGGGAACATACAACCTAGATTTATTTTTCACTGGGAAAAAGGGGGGTTGAGAAATATAAACCCTGCTTCTATTACACTGAATTATACAAAGTTCTAATTTGGGGAATGAAAGAGCAAATATGGGCAATTTCGTATAGTCCAAACTATGACAAGAATGGGGAAATTTTGAAAGACCTTTCAGGTTTCTAAATCCAGTAGAGGGGCCTGGTCCATCTGAGTGAGAATCATGCTTCCTTGCCATATACCAACTGCTCACTGTATGGCTCTTCCCCAGCTACCAGATTCCACAGGGATCTGTAAGCAAGGAGACTTGGAATATGGGGATAGACTGCCTGGGCTAGAGCTGTGTTTGAATCTCAGCTTGACTATTCACTAAGGCCCAATATAAAGCATTTAATTAATTTCTCTGTGCCACAATTTCCTCATCTGGACATAGAGGTAACAATGTTCCTCTCCATAAGATCATAATACTGAAAGTCAATACACATATGGAGTTTTAGGGCAAGGCCCAGGACACAGTAAATGCTTTATAAATGTTACATCTTATCATTATGGTCATTCTTTGTTGAATTATATGTAAGAGGGAAGAAAATACAAGCCTTAAAAATAGAGTCTTAGGGCTTAGGGCTCAGTGATACAGTGCTTGCCTAGCATGTGCAAAGCCCTGGGATCAATTCCCAGGACCCTCAAAAAACAAACAAAAAAACACTCAAGAGGAAGGAACCTCCACTTCTCAAAAGAAGAAATATGAACAGCCAATAACTGTATGAAAAAATGTTCCCAAACTTCACCCATCAGAAAAATGCAAATCAAAACTATACTGAGATTCCATCTTGCTCCAGTCAGAATGGATATCCTTAAGAACACAAAAAACAATAAATGCCAACAAGTATTTAAGGAAAAAAAACTACTGTCCACTGTTGGTGGGAATGTAAATTAGTCCAGCCACTAGGGAAATCAGTACGAAGGCTCCTCAAAAAACTAAAAATAGAACTACCAAATGATCCAGCTATATCACTTCCTAGTATATACCCCAAAAGAATCAAAGTCAGCATACAGAGGAGTGTATACCACTGTTATTCACAATAGCCAAGTTATAGGATCAGCCTAGGCGCCTGTCAACAAGATGAATAGATTAAAAAAATGAGGTATACATACACAATAGAGTATTATTCAGCCATAAAGGAAAATGAAATCATGTCATCTGCAGTAAAATGGATGGAAGTGAAGATCATTATGTTAAGCCAGATTCGGAAAGACGGGTCTCACGTTTTCTCTTACATGTGGAATCTAGACCAAAAAAGATGACATGAAAGTAGAAGGTAGACAATTTAAAAAGATGAAAGGGATGGGAGAGAGGGAAGGAGAGGGTAAAGGAAGGTAACAGGGAAAGGATATTGTTAAAGTTTGTTATACACGTGTATGAAAGGGTCACAATAAAAACCACTCTACTGTATAATCAATATGTGCTATAAAAAATCGTGGAAAAAGGATAGTCTTAAAATTCTCCCAAGTTCCTTAACCAGACTGGATCCTCTGTAAATTGACTATGTGGTTTTCAATTCTGCCATGCATTCAGGAGATCTAGAAATAAATTTTCTTGTATCAATTTTATACCGACTAATACTGCCTTTTGCACTTGGGATGGAAGATCCAAGTATAGGCACCTGTGCTGGAAATCCAGCAGTGACCTTGTCTTATCCATAAAAAGGAATGAGTGCATGATGATGAAACTGTCTATTCTTATCCTCCCCTCTCTTATTTCTTCAAGTCTAAAAGGTTATGAGACTCATAAATGAGTTACTCAACTAAGCTTGTTAAGTATAAACTTGCCAGACTTTTGCATCTTTGTTCTGCCCCACCCCATCTATCAAATGGCCCGCTCCAAGAAAATGCCACCCACCCTGGTAGGGTGGGAGAAAGCAGAGGCTGGGGTGATGAAATGAAAAGAGTGACTAAAGTCCCAAGTGCTCCTGGGTGGAACATGTCCTGGGAGTGGGTCTGGAGGGCCAGGAGGGAAAATGTGTGTGGTCAAAATTAGCGACTATTCAAATGTATCCTTAGCATGCCCAAGTATACCTGGGTGTAGGGAAGGTACAAATTTTCTCAACCCTTTAGTGCATTCCAAAACCAAAGGCTGACCTCTGAGGGAAATAAGGGCGTGGCCACACAGACCGTCCCTAGAAGACATTCCTTCCTCGGTTAGGGACCGCTTGCCTCTGGCTGAATCAGTAGGAGCAGGAAGGGAGAACTTTCCACTTGCTTCACTTTTCTTTCTCAACTACAAGCAGGGTGTAGACTCCCCAGCCAGCCAGTTGTAAGAAGCAGCACTTCCCCTCCAGCCGACTGAAAGCTCGGCAACGTCTGGCCGTAATTTGAATGCGTTTCCTTTTCATTGCGAACAAAGGTTGGCGCCCCAGCCTTGCTGCGCGGGTCAGGAAAGTACATGGCGGGTGTAAGAGAAAACACACACCGAGTGACCCACGAGAAAGGGAAAGGGGAAAACACCCCTCCTCGGGGCGCTGGACTTTTTCGACTTTTCCTTTAAAAAGAAAAAAAAAGTTTTTCAAGCTGTGGGTTCCAAGAAGAGGCAGGAGGAGGGGAAGGGGGGGGGGTGACAGAAAAGCCGCCCGGTCGGTTATGAGTCACAAGTGGGTTATAAAAGGGTCGCACGACCGTAGGCGCGGGCTTCCTGTGCTCGGCCAAGCCGGAGCGAACGTCACCAGCCACCGCGGGATTGTCGCCAGCCCCGGGTCGGGACGGGGCGGCAGGAAGCAAGCGCGAAGGTCGGCTTGAGAGGAAAGAAGCGGCCAGAGCCCGGAGGTACGCGACTCTGGGCTCGCTCACCCGTCCGCCCTCCTCTGGAACGTGGCGGCGGCCCGGCGACGGTGGCCGGGGCGGGACGGGCCGCGCGAAGACGGTGGCAGGGGCGGGACGGGCTGCGCGGCGCGGGAGCGACAGCGGCAGCGGCGCGCACGTGGCCGCGAGTCCAGCCCGGCGCGCGCCTGAGGAAGGCGCTCGGCTGTGGCTGGAGGAACCCGGGGGAGCGGGCAAGGGAGGATGCTTAAAAATAATAATTTTAGAAATGAACGCTTGAGCTTCTTGGCCAGGTCTCCTTTGCTGATTGCGGAGGTGCTTGTGACGGGCTGTCGAAGAGGCCAGAGATGTGCGTGGGGCACTGTGGGTCCAAACAGGTGTCTCTTCTAGTTTCTCTTGGAAAATAACTAGTAATTAAGTTTTATAAAGTTAGAATCGTATCATTTTGGCTGTCTATGACTTCGTTTAATAGAAGTGAAGGATGAGCAAACGTTCAGTGAGCTTAGGTGTTTATTTATTTGGGGGTTTGTTTTGTTTTGTTGAGACAGGGTCTCCCCATGTAGCCCAGGCTGGCCTGGAACTCTTGGCGAGCCTCCCGCTGCCTCACCCTCCCAAGTGCTGGGATCTCAGGCGTGCGCCTCCATGCCTGGCAAGCTTGGATGTTTACTTGCCAGGCCCAGGGTGCAGTTCTTCGGGCACATTGACTGTATTGATTGATTGATTGATTGATTGATTTTCCTCGCAAGATTCCTATGAGTGTCTATCATATTTCACAGCGCTCCAGAGTAGACCAGGTCTTAAAAAAAAAAATTATAGCCGCAAAACAGGCATATTAGGATGATTCAGAATAAAATGTAACGTGTAAATTCTGAAGTGAGCAACTGGCAAAGATATAAGTGAGACTCGAAACTATGTTAAAAATGGAAAAACTGAAGCCCAGAGAGGTTAAGTTACTTCTCCATCACACAGCAGATCCAAGACTCTGTGACTTGAAGAGGACAGAGGTATCTAATGGCACTTATAATTCAATTTACATTTAGCATTAGACAGATGAAGTTAAGTGGATATGATGTAGATATTTCAAAACAATTGTTACTGCTTATTGACTCTTCACCACTGAAAAAGAACTGCTTTTTTTCTTTTAATATTAGGGATTGAACCCAGGGCCTTTGCACTCAGCTATGTTGCCAGTCCTTTACAAGAAAAAAAATTTTTTTGAGATAGTATCTTGCTAAGTTGCCCAGGCTGAACTCAAACGCCTCGAGTTCCTTCTGTCTCAGCCTCCCTGCGTCTTATATATTGCTTTACAATCTAAGAGCACTAGTAATACTCATAGACTCATCTTTTAAAATTAGATGGGTATTTAATTGTTTATGTGAGCAATAATATAAACTATAAAGTTTTCAAAGCAGTTCCTTGCCTCAGCTAATTTGTTAGTGACAATGAAAGGAAATTGGCAGGGTGCATGGTGTTGGCCCCATTTTGTCCTCAAGGACTTGTATCTAAGAGAATTTGAGTTTTCTCTAGTAAGGTCACTCAGTCCTTAGCACAAAGTCTGCTTTGAGATAAGCATGTGGGCTTTGGGGTGGAGGGGAAAGGATTGGATTGCAGGCCTCTGAGTCTCAGTTTAGGCTCTGATGCCTGATACCTTGCTGTCCCCTGATTTCTGTCACACTTACTGGTTATTCTGCTGCAAGGGCAACTTCGGAATGGGCTGGAGTCAGTGAGCTCCCTCCCTCCCACAACGGCTCAGTTCTCTCTGGCCACACATACTAAGAATGAGACCTATTGACACTGGCTAACACTTACAGCACCTTCAAGGCAGAACAAACCTTCAAGGTACTGGATAAACCTGAACTCTTGTCTTACCCTACTAGTGTGTAAAAAGTACAATTTAATGATCTTTACAGGCAAAGTAAAAGCCTCAAAACGCCATGTTCTCTTGCTGGGAAGGCTGGCGTCGCTCTGCTTACGGATGGAGGAACACAGGTGAGCAAGCTGGGCATGGCCCCAACTGCATGACCCTGAAAAGAGAGAGGAGAGGCTAACAGGACATTGCTGCACAGTTTGATACCATTTCAGTTGTGGGAACTTAGTTACTTGTACTACTGGAATGTACTAAAAAGTTTTGCCACACTTTACTTTCCATGTGCAAACACGATAACTTTCATCTTTCCTCATAGTTCATCAAATCACTCTTCTGTGAATCAAAAAACCCATCTAGAAAGCCCTAGATTTTAACTTCTGAAAATTTTCTCATCAGCTACTCTGTCATGACTAAGATCTACCATTCTATTTAGAGAAGTTTTTCTTCATTATAGAGTAATAGTTCTTAAACCTCCCTTTTCCTCCCTCTTTGGGATTATAATGGAAGTTATATATGATTTTCCCAGAATTTTTTAAATGTGTGCCCTCACATAATTTTGTGTTCGGTATCAGCAAGTTAAAAGCTTCCTTGACTCTTCAGCCATGACCCTCCTTGATGGTTCGGTTTCATAGTCCCTAATAAATAGTTTGACTTGGTGGAAGTGGTATGCAGACTCTCCACCTTCACTTGTGCTGCGCACCTCTCTCCCTAACTAGTAAAAGTCTTTGTTGTTCGAACCATTGGCTGTTCCTTAGCTGAACTATTGATTTTAATGGCTTCATTGCTTTAATCCTGGGCCTCCAGCCCACGGTGGATGAGCAGTAACCTGAGAACATGGCATGTTTCTAGCTCCATCCCTGTGCCTCCTTTTTCTCATTCTCCCAGGTGGGTAGCTAGGACTGAGTCATTTTTAAAATCCCTTACACTGAGGAACTTTTGTGACTCCAGAATAATTATTCAAGTCCCTTTTGATGTAGCTCCTAACTTTGTGAATTCATGTCCTCTATGTCGGAGGAAGAACCACTGAAATTCACCATAGAATGTATACTTGTCTTTCACTGATCTTAACTGAGTTCAAACCTGGTACCTGTTTCCTGAAAATGGATAGAGTAAAAACCATGCAGAACATTTTTTCCAAGGGAAAATATTAAAATTTCAAAAGCTACTTTTTATCCTACCTTTCTACTGGCAACTTTCATATATATACATATATACACATAGGTATGTATATATAAGCAGTAACTTATATATAGACACATGTATTTATACATACATATTGCTTTTATCAGGCTTTTAAGGAAAGCAAAGCATTTATTTGGTCCCAGCTATGTAATCCTTTCCTGCCATGAAACACTTTTCAGCCCTCTCCCTCTAAGTGTCTTTGAACTCACAGTATTCAGGGCCTCCAGCAAAACCACCTCAAAAGCACATTTGCCCTCAGATTAGCTCACTGGATGTCAGAATAGTTGAGTGTCCTCACTCACCACCCCAATGTGAAGGGATATGTACTTGATTTCTAAAATTACCACCCTCCCACACAACAACACATTTGTGAGAAAATGAGGCTTAACATCCATCCAGCGGCTGTAGCTTAACACTAATTGTGACTGTGTTAGTTCTGAAAAACTATAACCATCTGTGGATAAACAGACACTGGCAATAGGACAGATTAGTGAAGAATGTCACATGGGCGCTTTAATGAGACTGAAGCTGATGATGAGATAAGATGAAACAATGATGTTCGATCACATTTGTTCCATTTTTCCATCAATGAGAGCGTTCTGTCCCAGGTATTGTTTCCTGGCTGCCTTTACAAAATGCCGTGGTCCTTTATGTGCCTGTCCACCCTGGCTAGGCCAGAGCAGGTAGTGCCAAGATTGCCCAGGGTGTGTCCCAGCGGCTCCTCCTCCCCCACTGTTAACCTTGGGAAAATCATTTCCCTGCCTGTGCCTCGCTGACCCTGTGTGTACATGGGGAGGATGCTAATGCTCATTCCTGAGGTTGTGAAGAGGAATAACCAAGTTAGGATACATCAGGCAATCAGAAAGTCCTGGCATGGAAGCAATCCTGTGTGAGTATTTGCTGTCATTATGTATAAATCAACTGTGTAAGTGGATGATCTTGTCTGGTTCAAGAAACCAACTTTGAAAGTGAGATAGACATTCAGAGAAAGAAAATATATATGTGTACACAGGGATCTCTAAAAATTCTTGACACATTAAAAAAGTTGTTAATTTTAGGTTTTGCTTTGTTTTTTGGTACTTGGGATTGAACCCAGGGCCTCTCCTACATCCCCGAGCCCATTATATGTTTTACTTTGAGACATTTTATTTGGGTCTTGCTAAGTCACTAAGTTGCCCAGGCTGAGCTCAAACTTTCAATCTTTCTGCGTCAACCACCCACAGTACTAAGGTTTTTAAGTTTTCAACAGTTATGGAATTCATCTGCCTCCTTAACCAGAGAAAAATTCATAAAACACTTCAGATTTTCCAAGGAAACATTTTATGTATTAAACAGTTACTTTATGTGCTTGCTTTGGCAGCACATATACTAAACAGTTACTTTATGACTTCGAGATCAGGATTAAACCAAATAATACAGACTTTTAGATAACCCCTAATCTATATAATGATTCAATTGTAGAGTAGCAAATCTGTCTAGACTTGTCCTTGTAAAATGGCAAGGTTACCGTATGATGGATGTCCAGATACTTACAAGGTCTTCTCCACGCACTGATTACTAGTGTCATTGGTACTGTGGCTAACATCTTTCAGCCCTGAGTATGAGCTTGGTACCCAACTAAATGCTTTACATTTGTCATGTCACTTCATCTTCACAACAACTTTTTTAGTAAAGTCATTATCTCCATTTATAGAGAAGAAATTAAGACTCAAAAAAAGTCAACGTGCTAAGTGACATCCAGCTAGTAACATTAGTGAGGTCAAGGATAAAACCCAGGCAAGTTAAAAACAGAACAAGGAATACCTTACCTTCAGGTAGACTCACTAATTGTTACCTTTTGCCTCCTTGCTTTACTTCTCCCTGTCCTTATCCATCTATCTATCCTTATCTCTCTATGTTTATATTCTACATGCAGACCTGGCATCTCACCTCTAAATGCTTTAACACATATTCCCTAAGAACAGTGACAGTTCTACACAATTATGACATCTAAGTGTGGCTTGAAAAAGTAAGGATGAAACCCAGTTTTTACTCACAAGCCCAGATGATTATTTCTACTCATTTTTTTCTAACTTTACCCTGATTATACTTTGTGAACTGAGATCCATGCCTCTGCAAGGGTCCATTACTAATCTGGAAAACTAACAACTCAATATATTTCCACATTTACAAGGTTCTGCTACACTAATCCTCCAAGAACACTGTATATCACTTAAATTTTACTGAAATACTTGTGCCAAATCCAGTTCCACCCTGCAGATAGAAAGCCTAATCTCAGGTCAGAGTATTACTGACAGTTGGCTCTGTATCCAGCACTAAGGTAAGACCTACTTTCTGCCCTCACACACAACTCAGCTATGAAAGAGACATACAATAATTGCCACACAGTGTGATGAGTGGATGGAGAGAGGACTAGCCACCTTGGGGAAGACAAAGGAGAGTCACACTGGGAAACAAAGAGAGCCCAGCCCCTAGAAGTGCTACCTGACAAAAGAGCATTTAGGAAGGGTAGGCAAGTCCATCTGAAGAGCAATTCGTCATAGGCATACCCAGTGCCTCAGAGGGTGGTATCTCAGGATGACATCTTGGGAAGCACCAACAATAACCCTCATTTGGTTTGCCAAGTCATTAAGTAAAATCCTATGGCGTATAAAATACAAACGGTGTGGATTTTGCCTCATAACTCAGAGTATCCCATATATGTAGCATCATAAGACACTAACTTGTAATAAGGCAAAGTCAAACCTTTTGTTTACAGAACTTGCTTAGTTTCTCAAACATAATACTCATTGCACAAATTCTTCCTTGCTTGGGGCCATTATGGTATGTGGAAATAGAAAAATATGAACTGTGGCTTGTCAAAGTAGGAAAGCAAATTCTTCCTGTGGTTTAGACATACAGACCTTACTAACAAACAACCCGGAAGTTCTGGTGGGTGTGTTTTGTGGAAACTCGGTATTGAGAGTTAATACTGTGAAATCAAGGGCCAGGGATTTAGCTCAGTGGTTCCACCTCCTGCCTCACAAGCACAAGGTTCAGAGTTCAATCCCTGGTATCAAAATAAATAAATACTGTGAAATCAAGGGCACAGAAAAGGCCTTATGGAAGAGAGACCCTGAAAGAGTGACAGAATATTCCAGAGTCAGTAGCTTTTCTTTTAGAAAAGTCCAGGGTGGAAGATAAGAAAGGATATCAAAAATAAATTATAAATGAAAAGGAAAAAGTTATTGTTACACAGGGAGATATGGAGACAGAAAGAGGATCTGGGGGAAGGAGAAGGGAAAGGGCAAGGGGGAAGGAAGGGTAAAGATGACCAAGACGCGATTTGTACATATACTGATTCACAAAGATGATTACAATTATCATAAATATATTAAAAATAGAAAACTAATTTAAGAAGTCTACTTAAATGTTTAAGTTTGCAGGTACATGGGAAACTTTGTGGAAATAGGAAATAAGAATGGCCATCATTTAAAGCAATAGAATGCATCCCTCCCCTGAGTTCACTCTCGTTTTTGTTTGCGGGTGTTTTACATTTTAGCTGTCTGCGCCTGCAGCTGAGCAGCGTGAGGTCAGGGTACTGAGGAAGTCAGTCCCTCCCTGGGACGAGCTGCTCTTGGGGGTGGGGCAGCAGACTCAGCCTGGCTCCACTCCTGCTTCTGCAGCTTGCTCTGTTACACTGACTCTGGGGAAAAATTCCTAACCTGATTTTTCCACATCCTTATCTGAAAAGTGAAGGTATTAATCACAATCCGTAATGAAATTATTAGGAAGGTTACTTAGCTCGTAAATAAGTTCCACAAGTCATTTCAGTAAAAACTTCCTGGTTTTAAAATTGGGAAAACCAAATAATTTTCTAAAGCCAGTATTTTTTCTCTTTTGTGCATTCACAACTAAATGTTCACTCATTGCAATGGTTGCATAACTATTCTGCAATATC